CACAGCCCCAGCCGCTCGGCTCCCGCACGTGCCGTGAGCGACAAGGAGGCTTCTGTGAGCCGCTGCTGCAGAAATTGCCTCCTGTGTCCCTGCACCCTGACTCCTCTACTGACTTGCGCTCGCTCCCATTTCCTGCTCTTCCAGGCACACCAGAGTTTCACGTGCCCACATGTGAGGGAAGGGGGAAGGCTGTGAACAAATTCCTTTTCCTAGCTGCTGTTAGAGACTCGTGGGCTTAAGGATGAGGGCGTTCAGCAGTCGCTGCTCAGCAGACCTCAGTATGTAGTTTGCAAATGCCAGGGCTGAACAAAACTTAAATTATTATTTCTCCCAGAAAACCCCAAGTGTGGATCGTGGATGAGCGACAACCCTCTTGTTCTCAGACACAAAGGAAAAAATCACAGTGTGAATTTGGACACATCTCTCCTCCACCAGCATCCATCCCTACGCCCCATCTGGGCACACAAGTTCCCAGCCCACGCCTGGGTTTGCCTGTCTTTGCGTCACACCTGGGCACCTCTGGATGTACCCCAAACTGCCAATACTCTGAATTTCAAGCTTCTCTTGAGCCCTTACGTCCTCCACAGTCTTTCTGCCTCTTTCCATCTTTGCCACAGAGGGATATCTTGCATTAGCAGAAAAAGCAGAAGCTCATGGTGATGAGGGAAATAAATTAAAAGCTTGGTTCTGCTGTTTGGTCAGGCAGCTTACCGGTCACCACAGGGTACGTCTGGGGTCCTGACACATTTGTCCCCAGGTCTGGGTTAGCAGAGGTGGATAGACTTGATTTGACTTCATCGAGACCAGGGGTCAGAGCTGGGAGGGAGTACTCATTACCCTGGGGAAGAGAGGAGAAAGACAGCTCGCTATTGATGCGCCGGGAGAGAGGGAAGGGTGTGCAGATGGGGGGGAGGAAGAGGAGCGATGCAAACCCCTGCACAGATGGGAGAGGAGGAGGAGGAGGAGGAGGAAGCGGAGAAGATGACGTGACAAGAGAGTTGCAGGGGGGTTCCTAGGGTGGACTGTCCTGACTGTGTGCCGCTGCGGAGGGGAAGCGGGGAGAGGGACGCAGCCCCTTGGCTGTGTGCGACTGAGCCGAGACAGGGACCGGGA